TGAAAAGAAAAAAACGAACAACCCCATTATAAAATGGGCAAAAGATATGAACAGACACTTTACAAAGGATGACATCCGAGCAGCCAACAGACACATGAAGAAATGTTCAATCTCGTTAATCGTCAGGGAGATGCAAATCAAAACCACACTGAGATACCACCTAACTCCAGTCAGAATGGCAATTATCAACAACTCAAAAAATAACAGGTGCTGGAGAGGGTGTGGAGAAAAGGGAACACTTATACACTGTTGGTGGGAGTGTTAATTAGTGCAACCTCTGTGGAAAGCAGTGTGGCGATTCCTAAAAGCTCTAAATACCTACCTCCCATATGACCCCGCAATTCCCCTACTGGGAATATATCTGGAAGAACACAAATCACTCTACAAAAAAGACACCTGCACACGTATGTTTATCGCAGCATTGTTCACAATAGCAAGAACCTGGAAGCAACCATGCTGCCCACCAAAAGAGGATTGGATTAGAAAAATGTGGTACATATACACGATGGAATACTACGCAGCCATAAGAAAGAATAAAATCATGAATTTTGCAGCAACCTGGATGGAACTAGAGTCTATAATACTGAGTGACCTCTCAGATCAGAAACAAAGATCTGAGTATCACATGTTCTCACTCATATAGTGGACTTGGAACATCCAATGTAATACTATAAGAAAATGACTGACAGTAGTGGGAAACTATGGGGGGGAGGGAGAGGGGATTAACGGCAATAAATATTTGTCTGGGGATGGGAAAACACCTCTTATCAACAAGGGTGCCTGAATGAAACGTACTTGTATACCTAACCCTTAAGTGTACCCCCACAATATCATAATAAAATTATTGATTATAAAGAAAGGACAGTCAATAGATAAAGTCAGAAAGTATAATAAACTTAAAAATAAAAGAAAACTTAATGATTTCACTGTCAATTGTCTTAAATGGCAATGAATGCTAATTTTACTATGCACTTAGAAATACTTAAATGTGTAAAAATGTATAAGTATATTACTAATTTTATGAATGAATTTGTGCACCTTGATTTACCATGGGAAAAAAAATTCATAGTGTTTTGATTTACTGAAATATAAATGATCATATTTAACTGCATATTTGTAGTTTTTCTTTCTTTTTTTTTTTGTGAGTTGGAGTCTCCCTCTGTTGCCCAGACTGGAGCGCAGTGGCCGCT